ACGAAAATAGGCAAATGGTTTTGATTAAAAACACAGCGTACCTAAAAAATTAAAAAATTACGTAAAATATTAAAAAAATTCCCCAAAAATGGTCGGACAAGGGGTGTGTGTTGTGCCTTATAGGCACAACACGGTATTGTGTGGTCCTATGGAGACGTGTCTCGAGTTTATTTTGATGATCCAAACCGTTCATATTATAAGGTTTGTCGAGTATTATCCATAAAAAAAAAAATCAAGTTAATCAGGCATATATAACCCTATGATAAAGTTTTAACTGTTTTTAAATAAATTATCAAAATTTTATTAACTGCTTATTTTTTAAAAAAACAAATGTGGTCTTATTTTGAGGTTATAGATATTCAATTAATCTAATTTTTTTGTTTTTATTTTTTATGAATGATTTACTTGACAATCTTACAATATGAACAGTTCGGACCAACTATATCAACCTGAGACAAAGTGTCACAGGCCTCACAGCATCGTACTATGCCTATAAGACACACCACGCACCCTACTTCAAAATAAAAATAAAAAATGAAAAAAAGGAAGACAAAAAAAATTATTTTTTGAAAACTGCTTTGAACCAAACAATAATATTGATTCTATGCCTTTACTTTTTTTTTATTTTTGTCCTACATGAATGACATGTTGAGAAATTTTATTATGCACTCTTTCTATTTGTTTGCACATATTTTTGTTAAATTCTTGTTGACAGGTGGATCAACTACATGGTGACATATGGTAAAGAATGAGAGTCTTCCATCAGTCAAAGAGACAGGTGGCATAAAAGGAGTTGGTCATGTGCATTGGATGATCCAAGTGATGGAGCAGTTATTAGGCTAAGTCATGAACTTATTGGATTACTTGCAGAAAGGAACATGAGCAAAATAAAGAGCTTTACCCTGTTGATCTAAGGCTCAAAGTGATAAGGAATATGTGGCAACATAAAGGAACATTGGATCGACAGAGGAAGTTGATGATTTGGTAAAGTGTACAAGCTTAGAAGTAGAGGAGCAGTGTTGCGGCAGGTAAGTAGTGATAGTGACAGTCACAGGGTAAGAGAGATCATGGGATCATGGACAAGTGAAAGTTATCAACCAATGGACATGAAGCAGCATAGCATGGTCAGTGAAGTCATATAAGAGTTGAGAATTCGAAGAGAGAAGGACCTTTAACCAAACTCATAACACTTTTGAAATCTAGGAGTAGTGTAACTTATCTAGGAGTAGTTATGTAACTTATGAGTAGATTAACAGTAATTTGAGTGCTTTTAACTCAATTTGGACCTATCGATTGTAATGATATAAAACTTGTAATTTAATTATTGTAATTAAGTGACAAGTTAAAGTGTTATTAATCACATTTCCAGTTTGTTCATCTTTGTTTCTTCACATTACAACCTCCAAAGAAGTCCTTGAATCTGTTAAGGCATGGGACACCAATCATAGTGTTTGATTAATCTGCTATTTGTGAAAATTAATTTTCCCTGTCGAATTACCTCTGTTGCTTTGACCTAAACTTAATTTTTGCTAGCATATTTTGGCACGTCTAGTGGGACTAGTCTAATTTGGAGTAATGAAGATGAAGAAGCATATTGATGCTTATGGAATCATCATGCCTTCAAGTAGCATGTCTATGTCTTATGCACCCATGGATCCAAACCACCAAAGGAATGACAATGTTCCAATGGGTATGAAGTGCTATTGGAATGCCTTATCTTCTAGGTATAATGATTGTCAATATTATGGCAATGCTTCTAACACATATTGCCAACATAATGGCATGGCAAATAATATGAAAAGAATGATTCGGTGTTGTGAGGACAAAATTTCTTGGTGCAAGAATGAAAGTTTGGCCTTACAAGAAGAAATTAATTCTCTTGATTCGCAAAAATTTTGAATAATTTCATCACCTCCATATTATTTGATGCAAGAAGATAAAAATTTCCTTAATGGAAAAAATTATCAACTTTATTGTCAATTTTACAAAGTTGATAGAGAAATTCAACATTGTTGTAAAAAATTAGAGAATCTTAAAAAACACCCATTTTATGAGTTGTTAAGAGGCTTTTCCAAGCAAAACTTTCTCTCCACAAATCATGGCCAAGGAAAAATAAAATTATAAAAATAGCATGTCTGGGGGGCAATTTCATAGGAAAGGAACTCAGTTTGGGTTTTCAAAAAATATTCTCAACTCATTATTTGAAAAAAAAAGTCGGCCAACATCTTCTGGGTGTTCAAAAAATTATTCAAACCCATTAATGTGTGAAATAAAAGATCATCCATTTTTCACAACTCTTAATCTAGAGAATGGTGCAAGTAATGTGGCTAAAAAGTGTGGTTTTAAGAATAGTGAATATTCACCGCAAAATGATAGTGAAAATACACTTGGGAGACATGATTTTAAGCCAAAGATGTTTGAAAATTATGAACATGAGGGGCATGATTTTTTGCCAAACATGGCAAAGAGTAACAAGCCATTAATAGCTAAAAAATAAAAACAACCTCTTTTGACAAAAAATGATGAAAATCCATCACAAAATAATGGTGAAGATTTACTTGGGGGGCATGATTTCAAGCCAAACATGACTAAAAATCATGAACAACCCACATTTGTTGAATTTGAAAATTTTGACATTGTTAATTTTGTCAAAATGTTTAATTTTCTAAAACTATTTGATATTATGATTTGTGTTACCCAACGACCACCGTGGGTTGGTGGTTCACATCAAAAGTTGATTCGGATGAATTGGTTAACAAAAATAATATCTTATTCTTATAAAATTTGATGCAATACAAAAAATATAAAATGGCCATATAACAGGCATTACTCGGCCAAACAACGGCCAGTTGTTTAAATTCTGCATGAAGTTTGATAGAGTCAACACATCGACAGAAGGCCATTAATTTAATCTTGATTTTATAACTCTTCAAGAAGTCTCATTCTTAAAGAGTTAGGGGGCATTGTTTGTATCCATTTTTGTTAAAATCCTGTTGACAGGTGGATCAATCAAATGGTGACATATGGAAAAGAATGGAAGTCTTCCATTAGTCAAAGGGACAAGTGGCATAAAAGGAGTTAGTCATGTGCATTGGATGATCTAAGTGGTGGAGCAATTATTAGGCTAAGTCATGGACTTAGTGGGTTGCTTACAGAAAGGAACATGTGCAAAATAAAGAGCTTTACCCTGTCGATCTAAGGTTCAAAGTGATGAGGAATATGTGACAATATAAAGGAACATTGGATCAACAAAGGAAGTTGATGATTTGGTAAAGTGTGAAGGCTTAGAAGCAGGGGAATAGTTGTAGCAGTTAAACAGTGACAATTGCAGGGTAAGAAAGATCATGGACAAGTGGAAGTTACTAGCCAATGGGCACGTGGTAACATGACATGACTAGTGAAGTCATATAAAAGCTGGGAATTCAAAGATAGAAGGACCTTCAACCAAATTCACAACACTTGTGAAATCTAGGAATAGTGTAATTTATCTAGGAGTAATTCTGTAACTTAGGAGTAGATTAACAGTAATTTTTGTGCTTGTAACTCAATTTGGACCTGTTGAATATAATGCTATAAAACTTGTAATTTAATTATTGTAATTAAGTGACTAGTTTAAGTGTTATTAATCAAATTATTAATCTATTTGCATTTATTTATTCACATTACAACCTCCAAAGAAATCCTTGAATTTGTCGAGGCATAGGACACCAACCAATACAATTGTAGAAACATAAAAGACGGTTTAGTTAATGAGCATTGCTATTAACATTCCAATTAATATTTTGGATTTCTCATTTCTTTAGATCCCTACCTACAAAATTATCCTAAAAATTTCTAAGGCCCCCTAAATAATATCAAAAGTATCCGTATAAAAACATCACACCCATCAAAAATTTTTTAAAAAAAAGGAATAATATATACACAATGATTTAAAAAATAAATAATTCAAATTATCAAAATAAAACTCGTGAATGATTCAAATTATCAAAATAAAACTCGTGATGAGTAAGACATGGTGTGATTCATATAATAAAATGGACAAAATATGAAACCTTTTAACATAATTAGTTTGAAAAGATAAGAGGATATGATTGTCAATTCATGGTAGTCATCTTTTCATAAGGTAATTCCATTTGCACACTATAAAAATATTAGAAGACATCATTTATATCATTTGGATAAATTTTTTTTAACAAAAATCAAATATCCGAATATAAATTTATGAATAGAAAATAATTATCCAGACATAAACAATTAAACTTATATTTGAATAGTTTTTTATTTATTTATTATGAGAATTTACTTTTTATTTAAAAATTTATATTCAAACAAAATAATGTGTCCTGAAATTTCATACTACGTGCAAATATAATTGCCCTTTACGTAATATAGTGGAAACCGAGGACCACAAAACCAAGAATATAGTCTCCGTTTGAGAAGTGAGTTGGTTTTTTAACTTTTTGGTTTTTTGATTTTTTTTGTGAGAGAAGAATATAATGATTATGGGTTAGATGTGATATTTTATTTTTTGTGGCTAAAATAACCTATTTTGTCTTTTGTGACTAAAATAGTCAAAAAAATCCCGTTTAGCTCTTGCCAAACGGAGCCATAAATAATTTTGATGCTTCATTTACACCACCAAAGCAGACTATTCCTTGGACAGCTAGCTATTCGTAAAATTTAATTATTTTAATTATTTTAATAAGTTAAAATTTTTATATTTAAAAAGATGATTAAATTTTTTTATAATTAAATATAATACTTGTTAAAAAAATAATCATGAATTTAATGTGATATTTTATCTTATTAATTATTTTAATTTGTTTTATTTTTTTTTAAATTTTAATTAAAAAACTTAAAATAAAAATAAAATAAACTCTCCCCAAACAGGGTTTATATCAGGTTTGGGTTGGGGTTTGTAGCAGTCTCCGCCACAGCCTCGCAAGTATAAAACAAGTGACTCTGCAACCCTCCCGTTTTCACAAAGCCTCTCTTCTCTCCTCTGTTGTTCAGTTTTGGTAGCAGAAAGAACGAAACAAAGAAGAAATGGGAGAGGAGAAGCCAAAATCCATAGGAGTATGGCCCGCAGTGAAACCCTTCGTCAATGGCGGAGCCTCTGGCATGCTCGCTACCTGTGTTATCCAACCCATCGACATGATCAAGGTACCCCTACTTCTTCTTCTTCTTCTTCTTCTTCTTCTTCTTCTTCATACTCTCTCTCTCTCTCTCTCCATCAGTTAAATCTCGCATCTTTGTCCTCTCTTTCAAGGGTTTCAGATCTTCGACTCTCTGTTAACGTTACATCTTCATTTTGTGCTTCTTTGTTCTACTTCTGTTCTGCTCACTTTTCACTCAAAACTCCTTGCTTTTCTGCTTTGCTTTGCCCTCAGATCTTAGATCAAACGCCTCTGTCTCCAACCTTCACTATGTAGAATTTTGAGCTGAAAGATGATTTTATATTTTTTATTTTTTTATATGTTGGTTAGTTAAGATCAAAGTCGAAAGTTACATGTTAAATATGAATTTTGTTTCTGGAATCTAGATATGGTGGTTGAACAAGACGGGTTTGATTTTAAGCTGTGTTTATTTGGCAATTACAGGTGAGAATTCAGTTGGGTCAGGGATCAGCGGTTGATGTCACCAGGAACATGCTAAGGAACCATGGTATTGGCGCCTTTTACCAGGTTTGTTTCTACCAATTCATGTACTTGTTGCTTTTAACTTTACTTTTGCTTCACAATTTATTAAAAAACAAAAAAACGAAAAAAAAACCCTTTACTTTTGCTTCACTGATCCTCTTTTAAGAACTATATAGTGTGTTTGTAAAATTGGGGCTATTACATGAACATATCTACTTGCTTTGAGTTAAGGCTAACTATGTAAAACTGGGGCTGTTAGATGACCATATCTCCCGTCACTTTGGGATCTAGGGAGGTTCGAAACCTTACCACCATGTGGCAAAGCATCTGTGGTTTGAACCCTTGAGACCCAGTTCACAATGAAGTAACCTTACTGTTGTATAAGAAAGAAAAATATTAGGGCATGATTGAATACCCCCACCCCCCAGCAAAATTTTTAAAATTTGTCAATGCAAGGAAAACAGAAGTGATTAAATTGGAGAAAGATGGTGTATTCTCCTATTTTTGTTAGTTGCCCCATATTAAATGATAAAATTTTATTTTAAATGACACAGGTGGTGCAATGGCTCAATGCAAATTGAAAAGGACATCAATATACAGTTATGTGTTTTAAAATGGATGAATAGGTATTTAAGGTAATATCAGTGAAAACATTGTGCCCTCATACTTGTTTTAAGAAAGATAAATTAAGGTTTTGTTACACTGCGTGCTAGTGTTCTTTGTGGGAGTTATGTAGGTTTTGTTTTAAAATATGTTCCTAGAGACCCCAGATGTTAAAGCCCATAAAATTACTCCTCAAAGCTAGAAAGGCCCCATTTGTTTGTCTCAGTTAAGAATTTTTTTTAGTTGACCTCTTTGGTTGTGGTAGTTTGATTTCAAGGTATGGTTAGATTGTTGTTCTAATCTTCTGATGGGTTGAAGTGATAGTTTAAAAAAAAAAAAACAATCTAAGATATAAGGTCCTACCCTTGAGTAAATAGGAGCAAATAGCTCTGCTTGAGTTCAGTAAGTCTTGTTTTGGCCATAGCATTAATGGCAGTAGCTAGTAACTGGCTTTATCGCCTTTCAAGTGTATGATGAATGTAGAAGCTGTCATCAGCTTTTTTTGCTTTGTCTCTAGTGTGTAGATAGATCTCTGTGGAGACTGGAGAGAGCGGAGCTAGTGTTGTGAAGCCATGGTTGGTCCATGCTTGTTTGGTTCAGTGCTATTGTGGCTAGGATAAGGTAGGCGGTGGTTGCTAACCCACTTGTAGTTGTGTGTTGGTTGTGGAAAGTGCAGTTTGACAGGGTTTGATTGCCCTTATGACCACAAGACATCTTGAGCGCACACATGGATTCCTCAATAATAGCTGAGATAAATTTTGAGTTTGGGCAGGAAAACCAACCTGTTGATAGTTTGGTGTGTTACAGGCGGCTTTGCCAAGTGGTTGGTTCTACTGGTCATTGCTGTATTGTTCTCATTAGTGGTGGAAAATGTGACGTTTTCTTATGGGTTTGAGTGGATGACAAGTTGCATTTTTACCATTGGTGGTAGCCACATATTTTTATTGGGCAAGCTGTTGAGTTTGTATGATCTATAGACTATAATGGTCCTCCTTGATGTATTGATGATTTGGGTCGCCCTTTAATTAGGGTGGGATGGTTGAGGCTTCCATGGGTTGGATTGATGGATTGTGATGCATTGATCATTGAAACACATTTTTATGATGTATTTTTGCCCGTGTGTCTTTGCTTGCTGTGCTTGCCTAGCCAAGTGGGATGTGATTGGACCACTTGTTTAGGATAGGTTGGGTATTATGTGTCTTGTTGGACTGTGTGTACATGTGGATACACATATTATCGATGAACATAAACTCGATGATGAGCATCATCTCGTCTAGATCTGTATAACACCTCAGCTGGTGCTATGTTTGCTCGTTCTGCCATGGATAGTTGAAGTTGAACTTCTGGGGAGATCTGTTGCTCCAGAGTGTTTGAAGTTGATGGTCGTCCTCTTATTCGTTGGAGTGCGTTCCGAGCTCGCCTTTGCAAGAGATAATTTCTTCGTTGGTGACGGTTTGTGGTCCACTGTTTTGTTGAAAAAGCTAATTATAGCTTGGCAGTCTGTTCGTAGAGTTAGCTGTGGCTTATCAAGATAATATATCTTGAAAGCATCCAAGGAATTCATGCAAGCATATATCTCTGCATCGATTGTTGATTTGATGGGATTGAATTTCCCACTTGCATAGGCACAAATCTTTTCAGTTGATCGAGGATCATTCACAGCTGGCTTCCATTTGCAGATTCCTCCCCATCCTTCCATGCATCCATCTATTTCAAGGATGATGACACATTTTATTGGAGGAATAGATAAATTTGGCAGTTTCTGGATTTTCTCCTTGATCTTATGGATCAAATCCCAATCCTGAGCATTCAGCCTTTTCTCACCATTTGGGCTTACTTTTGAGTATAATGGGCTGAGCATTCGGCCCAAATCTTTGACATATTGCCTGGCATAATTTAGAAGGCCCAACCAAGAGCGTAAGCCCTTAGTATTTGTGAGAGTTTCATCAGGGAATTGGGCCACCTTTGTTACAATGTGAGGTTGTAACTTTATTTCCCCTTGCCCAATTGTTGATCCAAGGAAATCAATTTGTACTGCTCCAATCTTCATCTTCGTTGGGCTAAGGATAAGCCCATTTGTTCTGCAGATTTCTAGCATAATCTGGATATGCTTTGAGTGGGATCTCTCATCTGGAGAGAAGACACAACTCAAGGTAATAAGAGCAAGTAAAAGAATGTCGTCAATGTAGACTGCAATAAAATCTTCAGTCCCTTTAAAATTATGGAATCATAGGTGATGATCCTATGAAATACTGGTCCAGAAATCAGATCACCTGTAAACTTGGAGTGTTGGATAATCTTCCCACTAATCCTCGTGTGATTAACAAATTGGCTTCTCCTCCTCGCCAATTTTCATATCCTCGTGTTTGAATAACAACCTGAACATGGTTGTAGAAGTCACCAATAGTCATCATAGTGTTAGGAACTATGTAGACCATCTGTATACCCCTTGTTAGATCAACCTCCATAGATGCGAAAGTTGCCTGATCTCCTGTCCATCGGGTGTCTCGTAAGACTAAGACCGCAAGAATGGGACCAACAGAATCCATTACCGGAGGACAGAAGACCAGAATGTACCACATGCAAAAGAGATTTAACTTCCTATTCAAAGGCCTTTTGCAACAAATGTAATGCTTTAACATGCTCATTATGTGCTAAGCATTATTTCAATCTCACGACGTTCATCACCCGAAAAGCTCCGATTCCTCATAACCAACGGCTCCATCCGTAGCTCGGATTGGCCTAGATGCTTGTGGTGTGAGTCTGATAAATTGCACAGCATCAAAACCTTCATATTCACTCATTGGATAACATGTGCGACAAAGTTTTGCCTTCTTTTTATCCTTCATATTAATGGACGGACCTTGTCCTGTTGCCGGTGGATATCCTGTGGGACCCATAATTGAATCTTGTGGAGGATTATAATGGGAGGTAACTGCTGAGGATGAAGATAAGACATATTGAGGTTGTTGCCGTCGCCGAGCAATTAATTCCTCCAATTTCTTTATCTGCGGGTACTCAGTCTCAGCTTAGATGGATAGCATTTACGGACTACATCACTGGTCTAGGCATAGAAGTATTTCCAGTGCTATACCAGTAGCAATTAGTGCTCTATCTCTAGCCGAAATTATGTACTTGCCGATAATGCCATTGAACAGGCAAGAACAGCAATCCAACAGTTACGCAAGATCCAGCAGCTTAAGCTTGAAGCCATCGCCAGAGCCGCTTGCAGTGACAACCAATACTCTGACCAACTGCCAGAAGTACACCAGCAGACCTGTGAACTAAATGAGCTAGTTCTTTAGATGTTGGCTTACTGGATGAGGCAAGCTTAAGCTGCTGGATCTTGCGTAACTGTTGGATTGCTGTTCTTGCCTGTTCAATGGCATTATCTTCTTCCTCAGCGAGACTGACCTGGATTTCTGCCATTTCATCAAGGGGGATTCCTGAGTACAATTCTTTTCTTTGAAGAACAACCCAGTGTGTTCAAAGAAACTCTTGACCAGGCGGCCACCCGTTATTCAGAATTTCAACGGCGAACGGAAGGTGGTGAAACAGCAGAGAGAAGACGCAGGCAAAATCTGCCTAGTTTTTGTTCACCACAGGGTTTCACTGGGCTTACTCCTCTCTGCCAGATATAGGGCCTGCGTCTTTTACTCCAAACTTATACTTCAAGGATTATACTGCCTGCAGATTTTAAATACAGAAATCGAAACCTTCTCATCAGCATGACGAGATCAAATAATTTTCCGTCAATTTCATTTAGTTCACAGGTCTGCTGGTGTACTTCTGGCAGTTGGTCAGAGTATTGGTTGTCACTGCAAGCGGCTCTGGTGATGGCATGTGTCGTAGATTCTGAATCTGTTCCAGCTGATGCCTTGGAAGAAAACTCATAAGAAGTTGATATGGATGCAATGGAGAATGAGATATGCTGATGAATATGCAAATCTTATTGCCATAGGTGATGGTAATGAAGGTACACAAAACATAATTTCTCAGTAAATACTTTCTCTTGTCAATTCTGACATGAGAACTATGTGGCTTCCCTTTGTAGGTAGTGGCTTTCCCTTGGAGGACGCATTCAAATGATTATCGGATGTAATTTTATCCGAGCAATGTATGGAGGAGTCAGAATTGAAGGTGATTGAGCAGCTTTTACAACTCAAGGTAATAAGAGCAAGTAAAAGCCGGCATCGGACAACGGCGTTCATTGTTCAATTCGGTGAAGAACTTGAAGTTGAACTTCTGGGGAGATCTGTTGTCTGAGCTATCTTGGTTTCTAATTTACCAAAAGGAAGCACTATAATCTGTATTTAGGAATCAAGGTCCAAGTATTCCTTACCAGGATAAGTTTTTTACCATCCGCTATGCAGCAGACGGGAGCTATGTTCGTTATTCCCCAGACTCTTGGAAAATTCTTAACTTCTCAAGTATCAAGTGTA